CTCAACACTAAATAATTCTTAAAAAAAAAAAAACTCAACACTAATTATAATAAACTAAAAGTTAAGCCGAAAATACATAAATCAGTTTACCAAAAAAAAGATAAACATACTATTGGTTACAAATAAATTTCATAATTCATTTTGAAATTAATTCATTTTTTCTTTGGAAGATAAAGAAAATCATTTTCAATTCTAAGGTTTGAATTCTTTGAAATTGAGGCTAGTTTTAGCAATTCCTAGCAACTCAGGTAGAATTTTCAAATTAATTACAAAAGTATTTTACTAATTATTGGAAATGACATGAATATATCCCTATATATGGCTAACATTCCTCGCTCCCGCTACTTAACCTGATATAAATCATGAGGAGACCAATCTCTTTTAGCTCAAAAGGAAAATTGGTCATAGTGAATGTTTTTAGAAGAGAGTTCTTCATATGTAAAAGAAAATAGAAGATGGATTTTCAAATTGTTTACAGTCTTCTTTTTTTGTTTGGCTGGATCAGTTGGATGATAACTTGAACAATAGCATTTTAAGAGGATGGATTTTCAATGAGTAACAGCAATACTTTTATGCTAGAAATTAGTAAGGTATAGTTCAAAAATATAAATCTAATTCCATTATGAACATATTCAAAATGCAATTTGAGAATTCAATGAAATTTATTTCTAATGAATAACGATTGGATATGACATACCAACCAGAATAATTTTTTTGATAATTTTCAAATAAAATGAATTCTTGATTCCATAAATATTACGTTTGTTGTAGCGGATTTCTTAAGCAATTACCTATCACCTCATATATAGTGGCTCATACTAAGGAAGCATTCTCTACACCATTTTATTCGACGGCACAACATGTCTTAAAAATCCTAATTTGCAATTTTGCATCCAACAACAACAAAATGATAGTCCAGACAAGATTTATAATCATTGCATGAGAAATTTTACAATGCTATATAGTATTGGTGCTATAGGTTTATGCCTTTATGGTACAACTTAAAATTGTACATTTACGTTATGGTACAACTTCAGATTGTACCTATACTTTTTGTACAAATTCTTTTATGGTACAACTTGAACTTGTACCTTTATGTGATGGTACAACTTTAAATTGTAAAGTTGTACCATAACATAATGGTACAAATTGCTTTATGGTACAACCTAAACTTATACATTTAATGTTATGGTACAACTTTGAGTTGTACATTAAAGCACCAATGCTATATAGCATAGTAGAAGTGCTCTCATTGCATTGGTTTGATCAACTAGATAAACTAATGGTAAGAACACGTAAAATCAAACAAAAAGGGGACCTATTTTCTTGATGAAAACAAAGTTTAGAGATTTGTCCCAACACGTACCTAGCAAATATGACTGTCCATGAAAATGACATCGATTAATTTTCTAATTAATTGACCATAGTTCTAAACTTCTGTTTTTTTTTTGTTTTTTTATGATAGGACTTGGTTTGAATTACTATACACAGACGTAGCCCGTAGGCAATGTTGGCTAAAGTTAAACACGTTTACTAGCCTCGGCGTCATCTTTGATGTAGCATTTTCTTTTCTGAAATTTTAAATTATATGGTACAGCTATTAAATAAGAATTCGCCAGCGCATACTCTGACATCGATAAGTACAATATTTTATGTCAGTTTGTGCATAATCTAATAAACGATTTCTTTTGGGTATTTGGCATTTTTTATTTAAATTTCTAAATTTCAAATCGCTTGTTCGAATATTAGTTTTATTTGGTATTTGGATTAATGCAATATTCATGGGGTGATTTCCAAATACATGTCTAGTGTATTACTTGTCAACTTTAAATATATTTCAACAACTAATGATTTGAAATTCCTCCTAGCAAAAGATTGGACCAAGTTTTAAAATTTTAAGAATTTAGGTACTTTAGTGTAAGGAAAAACATATAAAGGTACCCAAATGTTTCTTTACCACCAAAATTTCTGGACCTTTTTATAAAATTTTAAAAGTTTAAATACTAAATTGTAAGAAAATATAAATTTGGGTATCAAAAATGTAATTTACCAAAATTTGTAGTAAGTGACCAAAAAATTCAAAATGAAAATAAAAATCATAAAATATGAAATACAAACAAATTGCAAATGAATATCCAAAAAACAAATTTGAATTATATGAGTGCATTTCAAATATATGCATTTTAAATACATATATTTCAAATAACTTGCATTTTACTCTGACTTGTTTGCAAATTTGAGTGAATCAAAACAGTTTTAAATTCAAATATAATAAAACAATATAGTGATTTGAACTAGCCAATCCGACTCAAACATTGATCTTATCTGATTGGAGCTAATGTAGATGGATTCATAATGCATCTCTCCAATAGAACATTGATCTTATCTGATTTGATTGTATAACCTTTTGCTATAATGGTTTCGACTTCGGGTATTTATGGCTAATACTTCTGCTATTCCGATCCCATTCAATTGTCCTATTAATTATAGTTTGCATTAGAGGGCATTTTCGATTTTAGCTTTTGCAAAAAAGAGACTACATTATGACACAAAAGAAACGATCTGTAAAGACAAAATAAAAAATATAGGCTAATAGCTTTGTGATGTGCAATCATGCTTAATCTCTTACATCAGCGTCACATTACTATTAATGGAATATTTTAATTTTTTTCTCTAAATTTTAACGGATTATATCTCTTTTATTTTAAGTTGAAATGTAATTTTTTACACAAATAAATTAGATTAACCGTACTTTTAAAAATAATGTTCACTTTTATATATGTTTGGGATAAAAAATTTTGAGGCATTTAGTATCAGTCTATACCATGGTGGTATTGTTTGATATTAAATAAGAGCATACCATGCGGTAAGTAAGTATATCATGGTGGTATGAACATATCGGAATGTAGAATGATTAAATACATAATAGTTGGGGTAAATACCATATTTGGTCACTGAGATTACTAAATCGTGTTATGTTTAGTCACTAGAAAAAAATTAATATCAATTTTGGTCACTCAAAATACTAAAACAGGTCACATTTAGTCACTCTCTCGTTAGCCTCCGTCCAACTCCGGCCACTCGAATTAATTTTTTTTTTATGAATGTTACTTGAATTACTGAAACATGTCACATTTAGTCACTCTCTCGTTAGTTCCGTCCAACTCCGTTACAGTAATACGAGTGGCCAAAATTGATATTAGTTTTTTCTAGTGACTAAACATGACATGATTCAGTAATCTCAGTGACCAAATCTGGCATTTACCCTAATAGTTGGAATATACCAACTGTCATTTACAACTTTCAACATTGTGTACCACAAGATACCACCCTATACTAGGGTGGTATTTTTGGTCTTGTATTTTTTCTCACGAATTTATAAATCCATTAAATCATGACGAACTCGTTCGTTCTGTGTAAAATTTTTCAAAATTGACTTAAAATGAAGGAGATACCATATAGTATGAAGGTCATAATGAGTGGTCTGAAAAACAATTTCTCGACATATATTGAAAATGAATCTCATTTTTATAGTACAATGAACTTGAATCATCTGTGAAAAAAACAAAAACCAAGTTAGAAAGAAGAATATAAGAGTCGATTAAAAAAAAACTAGCGAAAACAAGAAAACTTTAATTGCTCAACCCTTAGATCCAGAGCCCACTTAAAATGAAATGTCCAAACTAAGTTATGCAAGGTTATACACCATAGGATTATTTACCCTATCCATAGCCATAAAATTAGAAAACAGTTAACCATAAAAAATCTAATATAATAAATATTTCATAAAAATAATATACTTAATTCATTGCACATAGGGGTAACCATTCCAGCCGAATCGGAAAGAGAATATTGGATCACAATCGAACCAAGAGCATAGTTGGGCCACTTGGTTAGTTGGTTTGATCCACTTTAAAATCTATTTCAATCCATTTTTCTTGTATTTAAGATAATTTATGAAATCAATGTTAGGAATTAATTTTAACATATCTAATTCTCTAGAAAACATCTCGTCAGATTATCAAACATTAATAAGGGTACTTGAACTCGTGTTGATCGATCTGTAAGAGGTTGATGCAGAATCCAATAAACGATTTGAACTGCACTATACTCTTAAAACACGATTTTGGAGGTTTTGTGACCTTCCTCAACCAAGTCACCTTAGTTCTTTTTGTAGAAACTATCTAATCTTCCTGATGGAGAGAAGAAGAGAGCTTTTATTGGGACCACACCCTTAAGTGTTCTTTATATACTAATCGCAATGAGCCCCCATAAAACCCAAAATTAGTAAGTATTGGGTTTCCACTCATTTAGTCCATTCAAAACAATGCTTTTGCTCTATATTTAGATCACTTCTATTTAGCTAGTATAAGTATACACAAAATATGTGGCCCATTCCATTGGGAAAAGAATTTCATAAAAATCAGAATTGAATCTAAATATTTTAATTCAAATCGATTTAATAGGATTTTTTATGCGAGAATTGATTTGCCAAAATTAGTTTCTTAATCCAAATCAACTTGTCGTCTGTCGACTTAATTAAGCTGAGTAGGAACTAGGAAACGCTTTGTGGATTTAATACCCCCTTGTGATCTGGAAGAAACACTTTAGAGCTGCAAGTTTGATGGAAAGAACTTGGATAATTACATTCTTTTATATTTTATTCGAGGGGGAATAAAATAAAATAGTTGAGGACATTCTCAATGTTTTGGGCAACAGTCATTGATAGGTCTTTACAAGATCACACCTTCATCCCATAATCTCCCCATTAATTAATCTTAAATTTTAAATTAATGTCAGGGGGAAAAAATCCGACATTAATGAGTAGCGGCAGTTCAACTTTCTGAATTGTGAATGAATTGCAATCTCTCATGCGATGTGAGCCCAGCCAAGATGAAGCAGAACAGTCATTTCTCCAATTCCTTTGTGGTTCAGTTGGGAGTGGGGTTTATTATTAGAATCTGAATTCTATAAATAATCCTCCGCATCGGCCAGTCTCACTCACATCCACTCTTCATTCCAAGAAACAAATAAATCCCAAGAGAAAAGAAATTAAGAAGCTATGGCGACCCTTGTTTCTCCTGATCATGTTTCTTACGACGATGATGCTCAAGCTCTGAAAAAAGCCATTGGAGGTTACTGCATTCATAAATCCTTGTCCTCTGTTCTACGTCAAGCTAGAACCTTGTGCCCCCTGTTTTTCTTCTGCATCATCCCACCTATTCTTTTCTTTTTTACGTATCTATCTGCTATAGCTTTGATTCTCCGAATACTCGGTGGGTTTTGAACTTTCGATCCACTCGATGAACAAAATGCATAAGAAAGAAAAAAGCAACAACCCAGATGATATTTTGATTCTTGGTAGAAATCGGATTGGGTATTTTTTGTGTGTTTATACCTAGCTACCCCCTTGGGGTTTTGTGTGTGTTGCAGGATGGGGCACTGATGAGAAGGCAATAGTGTCAGTTCTAGGGCACAGAACAGCCGCTCAAAGGAAGCAGATCAAGCAGGCCTTCTGGGATCGTTATCAGGAAGATCTCATCAAGCGTCTGGAATCCGAACTCACCGGGGATTTCGAGGTTTGTCATTACCAAATCAATCGATTTTGTGTTTCAATTTGGCGCCCGCCCCGCTGATCCTCCCTCCCCCCGCATTCGATTTGGGCAGAAAGCTGTTTACAGGTGGATGCTGGATGCCGACGACAGAGACGCGGTGTTAGCCAATGTGGCAATGAGAAAATCCCTGGATTACCATGTCATTGTCGAGTTTTCCTCCGTCTACTCTGCTGACGAGCTGCTCAATGTCAGGAAGGCTTATCATGCTCGTTACAAGAAATCCCTTGAAGAGGATTTGGCTACTAATGCCTCCGGAAATGCCAGAAAGGTTAAAACTTTTTAGTCATTAATTATATCTGAAATCATTTTTCAGGATTTCTGAATCGTCACAGGTATTTGTTTGTTTGTTTGTTTGATGCCAAAACAGCTGCTGGTTGGGCTGGCCACTGCGTACAGGTACGAAGGGACTGAGATCAATGCGGCGCTGGCCAAGAAGGAAGCCGACATCCTTCATGATGCTGTGAAAGACAGTGAGTCTCACGGTGAAGAGTTCATCAGGATTGTTACTACCAGGAGCAAGACTCAGCTCTTGGCTACTTTCAATGCTTACAGACAACTCTATGGCAACTCCATCACCAAGGTATAGTGGCGGATGGTCTTCAAACGCTGAAACCTTGTTTCTACTGGTCTCTGAAACCCTCTCTGTCTCTTGGATGGTTCTTTTTTTTCCTCCTCCACCTCAGGCGTTGCAGACTGATCCAGCTGATGAGTTCAAGACACTGCTTCGAACAGCCATTCGAGGCCTTACCGAGCCTTACAAGTACTATGAAAAGGTCTCTTAACAAATTTCCCAAATGCTCTTCTTTCTGTACTGGGTTTTAAGTGAGGGTTATTTTCTTCTTGTTTACTTTCAACAAGTTGTGATGAACTCATGAATCTTTCTGCTTTTTTTTTTTGCTTCTGAATAGATTCTACGCAATGCAATTCAGAAGCGAGGGACTGATGAAGATGCTCTCACCCGTGTGATCGTGACGAGAGCTGAGAAGGACTTGAAGCATATCAAGGAGGAGTATTACAAGCGGAACAGCGTCTCTCTCAGCCAAGCTGTGGCTAAGGAGACTTCTGGGGATTACAAGTCATTCCTGCTTGCTCTTCTGGGAGATGAGAAATAAACTGAGTTTCTAATTTTATTGTTGCTCTCAACAATGCTCGTCTGTCTTTCTGGGAACTGAGTTACTGTTGTTCTGTTTCTGTGATTTGAGTGCCTCTTTTTCATTATGGATGGACCCTTCTCCTGTGTTGTCTGGAATGTTAAATGTGAACTGCTTTGTGGACCATCTCCTGTTTCACTCTCGATTTCTCAATGCTCAGTGTCACAGCCAACGTGTTATTGAGAATCGTCTTGGATAATTCAAGTAGCTTGAGATCGAGTTTTATATTTCCAAAAATGAGTTCCAAGTCTCTCATCTATTCTTCAACGAGCTGGAAAAGCAGAGATCCTTGCTTATGGTTGAGAGTTGCCTTGGACAAGTTCATTACCTTGAGGTCGATTCAAAAGCTGTGTAATATTTGCTCATGAACTCAACCCTTTAGCAGCTGTAGAAAGAAGCATAAAGAGGCACTTTCATCAGGCACCAGAGACAGTTTTTGAATCCTAATCTTTGCTTCTCTGGCATACTACCATGGAAGCAAATCTAAATATGTAATCTAAGGAACTTAATGTTGACTAGGAGACTCAACAGAATGGTTCTGAAACACAACATTCACAGCTACATGAGAACTAGGGCGAGTAAAACATTATGCTTCCGTTACTGGTAATATCTTTGGATTATCTTATACTTGAGACCAAAGGAAGGAATACTGATTAGTTGGAGTTAGAAAATCAGACTCTAGAAATGGTGCCCAGGCAACCATTTTTGTTATGGTAGGGTAAAATAGTCGCCGTTTTAGTATTTGATGCATAAAAAGGTATCAAATGCATAAAAACACCGAAAGGTACTAAATGCACTTAGAGCAAATATCAAGCAATTTCAAGTCAAAATGGCTGAAGATATCAAGAAATGATGCAAAAAATATGTCATATAATGATGTAATAAAAACATATAATTTACGTGTCATCAAAGTTTATGTACATGTTCATGACTTCACATCCTATCATAAAGAAATTTGAGTGAAATGTATAGGTACAAGTTTAATTTGTATCATAAGGTTAATGTACAAGTTTGATTTGTATGAAAATATATACGTACAAGATTAATTTATACTATAAATTTAAAGTACATGTTCATGTTGTAATATAATGAAATTTGTACGAAAGATGGTGGCGCTCTCTTATTGAGTGCAAATACAAGCACAAGATATCTTCGTGGATTACCGGCAACAACAAAAATGGATCAGGGAACTCCCCATGGACTAGCATATCCAAAGAATACAAATCACTATGGAAATTTGCGTACATTGATCCGGGAGCTGGCGCCAATGTTTCATTTTGGTTCGACTGCTGGGCGCAAGGCTTCGTTCTCGCCGATTCTTTCCCTCGAGTAGCTGCTGCTGCGGCTGCCCCAGATGCCTCCATCGCTGACACTGCAAAAAACTCGGGTGAGTCAATTTGTTGGGAAATTGATTTAAGATTCACGCTTAGGGGAGGGGCTGAAAGAGAGAAGGTTAACCTTTATAATCATCTTACTTCCTTACCCTTTGATCAGCTTACTTCCAGTCCTTGTAGACCGGTCTGGGTTCCCAACCCAAGATCGGGATTCTCTGTTTCTTCAATGTACAGGTGCCTTGCCGATGAGTCATTCCCGGGAGTTCCTGATTTCCCCTATCACGAGATCTGGAAGAGCACCATCCCAACGAAGATTTGCTTCTTCTTGTGGACCCTTTGCCACGAAAGAATCCCCACGATCGACAGGCTGAAGAAAAAAGGTTGGGCACTCGTCAATCGGTGTGAGCTTTGCAAAAAAGAAGAGGAATCCCAGAACCACCTCTTCATCAGCTGCGAGTATGCTGGGAGCGTCTGGGATTTTTTCAGAAGAAGATGCAGACGGATTCCTCGTTTGGGAAGTGATATTAGAGACATCATCCGCAATTGGCCTGCTGTTTCTCCGGACTGTCTGGATGATTGGTTCAGCTACTGCCTCATTCACGCCCTGTGCTGGAACCTTTGGATTGAACGAAATAGGCGCATTTTCGACGAGGTATGCACTCCTTTTGGTGTTACAGCGAGGCGAACTGCTAAAGTCATCATCAACTGGATCACCGCTAACGGCAAAGCCAGCAAACCTCAGAGCATTGAGTGGCTAAAAAGCCACTTTGAGTGATGTGCCTCTGCTTTGCTTTTGGATCCTCATTTTCGGTTTATTCATAGGTAGGATCTGATGGCTGCCTCCTGATTTGGGGTTGTCTCCTTTTTGGCTCTTTCCCTGGTGATTCTTATGCATTGTAGTGTATGTTTATTGTTTTCTTTCTTCCAGCAGTATTCTGTTTTCTCTGTTTCGATGTTCCAAGTTCAGCCCTACTGAACTTCGAGCACTTGTTGTAATTTCTCGATTTAATTAATATTCACCCTTATCAAAAAAAAAAAATGAAATTTGTACGAAAGGTATAGGTACTAGTTGATTCAGTACAATAAGGCCTTAAACTTAAGTTCAGTTTGTACTATCAAGGAATTTGTATAAGAAGGTATAGGTACAAGCGATTTTTTAACAAAACTTTGTACGAAAGGTACAATAAAAAACTGTACGAAAGATATAGGTGCAAGTTGAACTTATACCATTATCTTAATGTACAAATTTAGTTGTAGCGCAAAGGAATTTGTATGAAAATATATATAGGTACAAGTTTAATTTGTACCATTATGTTAAGATACATGAACTGTAGTATAAAAGAATTTATACAAAAAGGTACATGTACAAGTTTAATTTGTACTATAAAGTTAAAGTACATGTTCAAGTTGTACCATAAAAAAATTTATACGAAAAAGTAAGTGTACAAGTTGAATTTCTCCCATAAAGTTAACGCTAAATTTGGACCAAAAAATAATTGTACGAGATAAAGTCATTTGTATAAGAAGGTCTAAGTATGAGTTTAATTTGATTCTTCAACGATCTTGTACCATACATGAATTCATACACAATATAGATACATGTTTAATTCATACCAACAAGGTTGAATTGAACCATAAGGTCTCGGTTTATATTGAATTCTTTGTACCATTAACGACTAAATTCAAGTACCAAAATCTAATTGATATTATACCACTATAGAACATAATTGTTTTTGGTAAATACTATTGAACATAATTTAGAACAAAAAAAATATGGGATTTAAAAGAAAATTTCTTCATGATTCTTATGATGCACGATAAGAAAAATTTCCTTGAGTAAGAGGTCCCTCTAATTTTGCGTGTCCTCATTGTTTTTATTTATTATTTTCAAATATACTTATTTTTTTTATTTATAAATTTCATATATACATTTTTATATAATAATAGAAAAGCTAAAGAATAACTGCTATCAGTCTATCACATATTCCGTAGAGGCGCCTAAAACCACTACTGTAGTATGTGTTAGGTTTTTCTTTTATTCGATCAAAGAGTGTGAGACAGATAATGCCAAAAGAGTGTGTTGCAACTGTAATCTACTTAATCATTATGCTATATCTATGACTATGCTTAGTCACACCAAGATCACTTTTCTTTTCTTTTCTTTTCTCAAAAGACACCAAGATAATGTGCCTCAGTATCTATTTACTAGTTGGGCCCAACAACCTATATAAACAAGCTCCAATGGACTGTGTAAGCCAAGCAACAAAGCAAGCCAACTCGGAAAAGCAAAGCAAAGAAGCGGGGGAAGAAAATGAGGAGCTCCAGCTTGGCATTCCTTTTCCTTGCGAGCCTGAGCCTGAGCCTGAGCCTAGCCGTAACTAGTTCGTGGGCGCTGAACCTGAGGGCCCCACTCCGGCCATTCAAGCAGGTTCACGTCCTTAACGAGCTCACCGACAACAAGCTCCTTCACGTCCACTGCCACTCCAGGGATACAGACGTTGGGAGCCATGAGGTGGCGGTCGGGGCGGAGTACACGTGGAGGTTCAGGCCGAGCCCTCTGGGGACCACTAGGTGGTCTTGCGACGGCACGACAGACGACAATCGGCGCGTGACCTTTGACTCGTACTGGGAGGACGTGGCACTCGCAAGGAGGGAGTATATGGGGAACACCTATTGGGTGGCCCAGGAGGATGGAATCTTTCTCAGGCCCATTCAAGGAAGCAGAGACGAAATTCACGCCACCTGGCTTCCAGCTGGGCCCCCTACCGCTCCTCTACCTCCACTACAGTGATCCCTCCATTATTCCTATCCTCTGCTATGGATCGTGCCGCCAAATAAGGTTGTTAGATTCCTAAGGATGACCAACATCAAGTTCACCTAACCTAATTAATGTTGCAATAATAATAATAATAATAATAATAATAATAATAATATATGTAATAAGGCAACTTAATCAATAATGGATGATTTTCGGTTTTTTTTATGCATGCACGATTCTCGGTTTTTGTGTAATAGAATTAGTGGACGTTTTTTTTGTTTTATATTCAGATATCACTACAACATCTGAATTCTATCAATAAAATGTTACTTTTATCCTATTTTATTTAACATTACAGTCCTGTCCTTTCATAAACTATAAGTTTTGTTAACTGATTATGTTAGTATTAACAGAAAATTTAGTCAGCGGTTAATGTGGAATGTTAAGACCAATTCTATTTATTAAATAATATTTAAAATAAAATAAAAGGTCGGATTGGACTTGGAATTTGATCTGGAACAAGTTTGATGATTTAGTCCGTGAGGTCAGCGTCAGCGATAAAGAAGAGATCTTGTCTTGTTGTTGGAAGTCGGACCCGACCCTCCAGCTTTTCCACCGCTCTACCCTTCTCCTCGTAGTCGTAGTCCTTCTCGATCGGCGCATTGGTCGTGGCCCAAAACATCACCGTCGGACAAGCCCTCTTAGCCGATGCAACCAACTCCACCGTTTGGCTCTCCCCATCTAGTGAGTTCCCCTTCGACTTAGACCTACTAGACAAAACCAACCCCACCTCTCTCCTCTCCTCTCCTCTCCTCTGCATACCTGACCCTGTCTCCTGCCTCCGCCGACTCCACTGTCTGCCGCTACCGTCAGCCTCATTCTCGCAAATGCACGAGGTTCTGAGATTTGGACAACTCTCCTCTCCAGGTCGACCAACAAATTCCATTCCTCCTTTAATTTGTGGGAAGCCTTTTCTTTTCATTCATCTTGGAACGTAGCTGCGGTCACTATTACACTATGTTCATGAAGGAAGGGAGGAAAAGGAGGGGAGGGTAGGAAAATTTGGAGGGGAGGTTAAGTTTGGAAGGGAGGGAAATTAGAGGGAATTGGAAAGAAAATGTTGTTTAATGGAGGAAAGTGGAAGGGAAAGTGGGAGGGAAAAATAGATTGGGAATTGTGATATATATTATATTTTATTGATGATAGAATAGTTAAATAATTTAATTATATTTTTATACTATTTACATTAATTATGTAATGTGGATCAAATTTGTTCTTCTTTGTTAATTTTGTTAACTACAACAAATCAAAAGTTGGTTATTTGAATGAAATTTGTCAACCTATTACTAAAATTTTGTTAACTATTTTATTGAGTAATAACATAGCAACTAAATATATAAACATACAACAAATTACAGATACATAAATTTGAGGAGCGTAACAAGTTTTTATATCTCATACAACAGTGTTATGTATGGTGCAAAACAACGTCACGTATGAGGTAAATCATCTATCTTGTTTGGTAGGAAAGTGTGTATTGGGAATTGTGATAAATATGTTATTTTATTGGTTATATAATATTAAAATAATTTGATTATATGTTAATATTCTATTAACTTATGAATTGTTAATCAAATTTGTGCTTTCTTTCTAAATCGCACCAGAGATTGTACCGGAAAAAAATTAGTGGTTGGGTATTTTATTGTAAAATCGTGATTTAACCACATCAATTATTTAAAAATAGATACTTTAGAATAATTGATCAAGCATTCTAAATCAATTAAATTTATTCAACTATTCTAATATGACTTTTATTAATGATCCGCTATTCTCATACCGAACATACCGAACCATTGCATATTCCGAATAAGCCAAAGATTAATATTTTTGCTCAAAACCGTAATTTAATAGTGGTACCATAGTTTTATAAGAAACATTAAATATCTAGATATTTTTTAATAATCATAACTATCTTTTTCTAAAATTAAGGACAATTATCTTTCCTAAAACATTATTCACACGTTATAGCCACACCTAATTACATGAAAAAAAAAGTAAACCTGCTACAACAACTTACAACTCAGTAGGAAAAAAATGTTAAATAAAAGTCATAAGCAACCAAAACACCTTCCCTTCCTTTTCTCTCCATTTTGGAGGGATCAGTAGCACAGTATTTTTTTTGTCTGGTTTTCCTCTCTCCCTTACTGTTCTCAATCTAAAAAACAGGGGAAAGCTTCTTGGGAATGCTGCTTTCCACCCAATTCCTACCCTCCCCTTCTTTTCCTTTGCAAATGAACACAGTGTAAGCAAGGTCTCGTTGACGCTGACCCTGGGAATTAGACTAGGGTCTCGCTTGTTCAGATATGGAAATAAGAGCTAGAGGATAAATTAGAGGAGTCAGAGTATCAACGGGTGAGTGAGAGAGAGAGAGAGGAACAAGGGATGATTTTTTGAAATATATTCTTACATTTTGGTCAGTTAAAAATGATATAGTAATGACGCGATGTTCCCAAATTAAGAATCAAGATCATGTTCTATAGTCATTCATACAATCAACCATAGTGAAAAGGGGGGAATGGATCAGGTGAGTAACCTTATGGTGAGTAACCATGAGTAACCCGTCCACATCAGCATGACATCAGCATCCTCTCTCTCATTGAAAGCTTTTAATTTTTCCCTCTTTAATCTTTTACGGACGATTTCTCGCTCATTTTAAGTCGAAATTTAATTTTTTTTGCACAGTTAGATCAGATTAATTGTGCTCTTCAAAATGATATTCACTTTAATATATTTTTCGAAAAAAAAATTGAGCCATTTTTTACCAGCCTATACCATATGGTATTGACTGGTATTGAAATAAAAGCATACCTATGTTTTGAAAAACGTACCATGGTGGTATGAACAAACCAATACTGTAGGATGGTTGAATACATGATAGTAGAAGTATATTAATTGTAATTTACGACTTTTAACATTGTATACCACACAATACCACCCCGTACCAGGGTGGTATTGTATGGTATTGTGTGCTATTTTTTGGTCCTGTAATTTGTTCACCCAGAAATTTGTAGATCCAATAGATCATGATGAACTCGTCCCTTCTGTGCAAACGTTTTCAAAAACGAATTAAAAACGAAGAAGATATCATACAATACCACCCCGTACCAGGGTGGTATTGTATGGTATTGTGTGGTATTTTTTGGTCCTGTAATTTGTTCACCAAGAAATTTGTAGATCCAGTAGATCATGATGAACTCATCCCTGCTGTGCAAACATTTTCAAAAACGAATTAAAAACGAAGAAGATACCATATGGTATGCAGTTGGTACCGAGAGGCCGGAATTTTTTGTTCCTAAAAAAATATTGAAAATTGATCTCATTTTGTAGAGCACGGTGAACTCGTTCCATCTGTGCAAAAAAAATTAAAATCCGAGTTAAAACGAAAAAGATATGAGTCAATTAAGAAAGCTAGTGAAAATAAAAATAGTCTTTAATTCTCCATCCTTAGATCTGGATTTTCTAAATGAAGGGTCCAGATTTGGTTATTGATGGGTGCATAACCCATGGTTATGCACCCTATCTTGAGCTGAAAAGGGGGGGAATGGATCACGTCAGTAACCTTATGGTGAGTAACAATGAGTAACCCGTCCACATCAGCATGACATCAGCATCCTCTCTCTCATGGAAAGCCTTTAATTTTTCCCTCTTTAATGTTTAATGGACGATTTCTCGCTCATTTTAAGTCGAAATTTAATTTTTTTTGCACAGTTAGATTAGATTAATTGTGCTCTTCAAAATGATATCCACTTTAATATATTTTTCGAACAAAAAAAATTGAGCCATTTTTTACCAGCCTATACCATATGGTATTGACTGGTATTGAAATAAAAGCATACCTATGTTTTGAAAAACGTACCATGGTGGTATGAACAAACCAATACTGTAGGATGGTTGAATACATGATAGTAGAAGTATATTAATTGTAATTTACGACTTTTAACATTGTATACCACACAATACCACCCCGTACCAGGGTGGTATTGTATGGTATTATGTGGTATTTTTTGGTCCTGTAATTTGTTCACCCAGAAATTTGTAGATCCAATAGATCATGATGAACTCGTCCCTTCTGTGCAAACGTTTTCAAAAACGAATTAAAAACGAAGAAGATACCATACAATACCACCCCGTACCAGGGTGGTATTGTATGGTATTGTGTGGTATTTTTTTGTCCTGTAATTTGTTCACCCATAAATTTGTAGATCCAGTAGATCATGATGAACTCATCCCTGCTGTGCAAACGATTTCAAAAACGAATTAAAAACGAAGAAGATACCATATGGTATGCAGTTGGTACCGAGAGGCCAGAATTTTTTTCCCTAAAAAAATATTGAAAATTGATCTCATTTTGTAGAGCACGGTGAACTCGTTCCATCTGTGCAAAAAAAATTAAAAACCGAGTTAAAACAAAAAAGATATGAGTCAATTAAGAAAGCTAGTGAAAATAAAAATAGCCTTTAATTCTCCATCCTTAGATCTGGATTTTCTAAATGAAGGGTCCAGATTTGATTATTGATGGGTGCATAACCCATGGTTATGCACCCTATCTTGAGCCGAAAAGGGGTATGCCCGAAGGGGCTCAAGATAGGGTGCTTAACCATGGGTTATGCACCCATCAATAACCAAATCTGGACCCTTCATTTAGAAAATCCAGATCTAAGGATGGAGAATTAAAGACTATTTTTATTTTCACTAGCTTTCTTAATTGACTCATATCTTTTTCGTTTTAACTCGGATTTTAATTTTTTTTGCACAGATGGAACGAGTTCACCGTGCTCTACAAAATGAGATCAATTTTCAATATTTTTTTAGGAAATAAAAATTCTGGCCTCTCGGTACCAACTGCATACCATATGGTATCTTCTTCGTTTTTAATTCGTTTTTGAAAACGTTTGCACAGCAGGGATGAGTTCATCATGATCTACTGGATCTACAAATTTCTTGGTGAACAAATTACAGGACCAAAAAATACC